ATATACTTTAAAAATAATTCATATGACCATTCATCTGAATATGAGATTGTATGACCTTTTAGGATGAACAATTTGTGCATCACCTCATAACTGCATCAAATCTAATAAATGCCCAACTGAATCTGAACACCTTTTTATCGCCCTCCAGTGGAGCGAATCCACACTGCTACTGTGGAGGGAGTCACAGAAATTAGATGTGCAAATTCAAAGAGCATCTTCCAATCACGTTTTCATTCACCCTCTCAATTACTGTTTATTAGCCTACATCAGCAATACCCGTTTAGATAATGACAATCGCAGCATGCCTCACTGATTTGGTATCAACTGCTATATCCATTTCAAACCCCGCAGCATTCGCGTGACGTGTTGTGGCATTGCACTTGATTTTTGCTCCAGGTATTATCCAACTGAGACCAGCAATGTAGAGGTGAAAAAAACGGTACACTAAGACATTCAGCAGGTAAAGACCATAGGGAATACTATGAATAGACATAAAAATTTTTAGGAAAAATAAATAAATCTGGTTATCTTACCAACACTTAACTTAAAACGTATATAAATTTAGTACTAATCTGAAAAATATCACTAAGCTGAACTTAGTTTAAATGTTTTTTCCCGCTACATTCTTGTCTAGCACACTGTTATTCTGACTCTAGCAGCATTTTCTCATGATGGCTGACCAGAGCTTCATCATGCCTTTTTGTAACAGGACACCAAATATAGTCCCTGTCAGTAGTGCTCCACACACACGTCCCTGCCCAATTCAGCCTTTCATCATTTGATTGAAGAGTTTGTTTTTATTAAGAAGGCTATACCAGACGCATAATCACTATACACTGATTTAACATTACCTTTACAATTAAATTCTTCACTGAAATTACAGAATAAATATATGCACATTTTTCTTCAAATCTTTGTGAGAGAGAAAACATTAAAAGTGCCTCCTACAAAGCCGTTAGTGGGTGGCGATGGGGAATCCAGAAGTAATGGAGGGGTGGGGTGGGGGGTTGGGGAGAAGGGGGAGAAGGGTTGGGTCTTAACAAAGTGTGTGGAAATATCCAGAAAACCTTCGGCATTGTCTTATTGTAATATTCACAAATGTTTTTGCCATCCGTGCGTCGGCGCATCCTTTTTACGAGAAGCACCCTGATATAGACAGAAGTCCTCATTAATAGTAATAACCATATTAATAAGATATAAAAATTAAATAGAACACTGAACTGTAAATGCGTTGCAGTATCTCTGTTCATAATGTCATTGGATAGTTCTGAGAAAATCCTCTCACTTCCTGCACCGAAGCAAGTGCATGCAGCAAACTGCAGTTCATTTTAATATATATATGTATATATATTCTTTTTTTCTCTCTTTTGATCATTTCCTACAAACTTAATGTGCACGGCCTCCGGGTGTTTGTACATCCTAGTCAGGGGAAAAAGAGAGAAAGAAAAACCCCAAAATCAGGGAGACGTCCAGCTCCCGTGCGTCTTCAGTGAATCTGGTACAGCATCGTGTAATTCCATAAAAATGGATTTTAGTGACAGATGTAGGATGGTTTGTATGTTTTATTCCCCAGTGCCCCTCTTGTTTCTCTTTTCCTCTCTCGTGGACTTATTGAGATATTTATATATTATAAAAATAACGGCTGTTGACATTGCTGGCTACTCTGAAAAAAAGGCACTTAATTGAATTATCTGAGAATGGCCTCTCCTCCAAAGTGATTTGGGGGGGAAACATTGTGACTGTAATATAATATTTTATTTTATATCATGCTGCATTTTCAAGTTGGTTTTTTTATGCTTGTTTTGTTTCATTTTTTTTTAACATGGATTTTGGGTGAGTTCGTTTTGAGGGTGGCAAAGTGAATAAGTTGACGTTGTGTCTTTTTTTTTTTTGTCCATGGGCTAGAGATGTTAAAACCGATAAGACTTTTCCAAGACTTCGAGGTAATCCGGCTTGGTTTGAAGTTTGGCCCTCAACTCAAGGTAATCACTTTGGGACGGGTCGGGATAGCAACCTTTTCCCGCTGTGAAAAGCAACGTCTCCTTTAGCCGTGCATCCTGCTGCAAATCAGGGTACTGCATGCCTGGTGGGTGTGCATGCGCCACATGCATGTCCTTTAATTTGGGTACTGTCCCATACAAACAGTCTACAAAACCAACAGTAGGCGTGGGCCTCTGACTGTCAATCACTGTTGGGCAGAGCCCTCCATTCTCATGAAATCCTGCCATGTCAGCCGTGGTGTGGTTGGCTGTAACAATGGTGTTGAGCTGAGAGTTGGAGACAGCCAGGGTCCACTCTCTCTCTTTCTCTAATAAGGTTCTGTAGTTACTGTTGCTACTGCTCCCATTGTCTTTCTTCTCAGAAAACTGTGCTCTCTCCTCCTCTGCTATCTCCCCTTCTCTAGGTTTATAAATGGGGTTGTTACACATCTGAGTCACAGGATGAGGGATGTAATCATAGACGTGGCCATGAGCATGTGTGTGACTAGCATGGGTGTGTGTGTGCATACTCTGCGTAGGTTTCTCTGGTGTGCCAGTGTTCCCGGAACTGCTTTGCCTTGGTGGGTCCTCAAAAATTCTGCATTGCATTTGGATCCCTGTCAGATCTACCTCAGAACGTTTCCGGAAGGGCAACTTTTTCCGGCGACGAAGAACAAAAGCAAAAAGCCCAGCGGCCACAAACACAGCAGATATGAAGAGGATTAGTAGGCTAAGGATGAGGACAGACAGTGGGACAGCACCTCTCCCACCTGCCACCCCCATGTCAGAGCTCCCTGTGGTGAAGTCATTCCCACCAGGCAGAGCTGGGGATGGGCCTGAAGAATATTTAAGCTCGGGACAGATGACTTCAACCTCAAGTGAACGCAGATCCTTCCCAAAAGCAAACTCTGGTGTCTTACAGATGACATCTCCAACTACAATAACAGAGGAGAGCTTTTCCAACCACTGTTTGAGGGGAATGATATCACAGGAGCAGTCCCAGGGGTTCTGATGGAGATCAATCTGGACAATCGAGGTCAGATGCTCCAGTACACCATGCACGGGCAAGGAAAGGAAGTAATTGTTGCGGAGGTTGAGACGTGCAAGGTTGGTTCCAGCAAAGGCATCAGTGGGGAGGGAACGCAACAAGTTGTCATTGAGAAAAACCAGCTGGAGATTTGGCATCAGGGAAAAGGAATGAGGCTGTATTTCACGAATGACATTATACTCAAAGTAAAGATAACTCAACATATGAAGCCCCCGAAACATCCCAGGGGTGAGTCTCTCAATGTCATTCCCATTCAAATATAAACTTTTCAAGTTCGGTAGGTTGATAAAGGCGCCTTCCTGGACATAAGATATCCGATTGTTACCTAAATGCAGTAAATCCAAACTTGAGAAGTTCCAGAAATCAGAACGATAGATCTTCTGTATTAGGTTTCCACTGAGATACAATTTCTTGGCATTGAGGGGCCGTGGAAGAAGCTCTGAGATGTTATGAAAGCTTTTCTCTTTACAGTTTACCGTTAGCCCCAGGTCATTGATATGAAGATTGCAAATACATCCAGCAGGGCAAATTATTGGAATAGGGGGCCTTGTTTGATAACCTGCAATTGGGGGCTGGTTGATGCCTGGGTAGATGCTACGGGGAGTTGGGGGGTTCTTTGTGGGTCGAGGTCGTTTGGTGGGTTTTACAACTCTTTCCTTGTATTCCACAGAAGAGGCTGTGTTGTGAAAGGAGGAGAGCATTGAGGAAGGTTTAGTAGGCCATGTGTTCTCATTGTTGAATGGAATCCTGGGAATTCCCAGCTTGGCCTCTATCTCTGCATCCGAGAGCAAAGGACAGAGCTCACTGCGTTTGATTTCCCTTAAGTCTTTCCCATGTAAGTGGAAAGGATATTCACATGTGATTTCACCCACTAAAGCTGTGTAGGGAATTCTCTCCAGCCATGTTTTTAACTGGACAATTTCACAGACACAGTTCCAGGGGTTCTCCTCTAGCTGGATTTCCATTAAGCTCCTCCCAATATACTCCAGTGTGCCCTTGTATGGCAATGTCTTTAGTCTGTTTCCTCTCAAGTCCAGATGTGTGAGTGACACAGACCTAAAAAGATAATTTGGGAGCACAGGAATCAGATTGTCATTTAATATAAGTACTCTCAATTTGTGAAGGTGTCTGAATGCACCACTTTCAATCCTTTTGATAACATTGTAATCTGCCTGGAGATACTCTAAACTATCCAAGCCCAGGAAAGTGTCATTCCGGAAAACTTCTAGTTTGTTTTCATGCAGGAACAGCCGTTTGAGTATTCCTAAGCCATTGAACGCTCCGGCGTGAATATCTTGCAAGGCGTTGTTGCCCAGATTAATGGATATGGCATTGTTAAGGTGGAGGAAGCTGTTAAAGTAAAGCTTCCTCATGGAGTTTCTCTGCAGGTTGAGCTTGAAGGGCCGGCTCCATATCTGGGAGATCTGGCTGATATTTGTAAATCCTTTATTGTCACAGTGGACGTGGAAGATGCCCTCTTTGACCTCACAGTAGCAGGGCTCGAAGCAGGGCTCGTCGATCTCCTCCGAGTCCTCCAGTAGTGGGATCGGCGTGGTCCATCCTAAGGCTATGGTGCTCAGCAAGGTAACCCACAGCATCCTTGCTGACACCAAAGGGATGAAGTCTTGGCTCCAGGGACAGAGCCACTTCACAACACTGCAACAGAAAACAGAGAAGGAGCGGAGGAAGGGCGGGGGTGGGGGAGGGAAGCGGGTGTCGTAATTACACATACAGGTACACGCATGCCCTCAACCAAGAAATGTTTGTGTCAAAAAAGACAGGCAGATGGGATAGAGAGAAGAGAGGAGAGAAGAGGAGGTCACATTAGTTTCAGTAGAATGCAAGGCAAATCTTGAAAATAATACCAATGAATTAGAAAATCATGGAACCCTACTTTCAATTTTGCAATATTGAAGAGTATTTAAAAAATATGTGTGAGGCATCTTTGTAGGGCTAATATGCTGCACAAACAAATCTCTACATTAAGACAGTTAACTTTACCAAATAGGATGGAAAAAGTCATTTGTTATGGAGCAAATATGCTGGTAAGCACGCAGAAAATCACCTGAGATATTTTTATCACATTGAATAAAGAAGGTAACCACAGCAGGGTGAGGTTAGTGGTGAGTATAAGTTGCCCCTTCGCAGTATTTATTGCATAACAGGGACATCAATCCCTCTTTCAATAAACTAGAGTCCAGAAAAGCTTGGTGGAAATGGGAGCAGGTGCTTTGAAGGTCTAACGCTGAATGAAGACGGGATAAGGTGCCCGCTTGGTATCCACAGTGGGGCTAAATACGGATTATTGTGACGCTTTCTTATTTATTTTTTTTCTCCTTAAAATTAAATATCAGCACAATTAAATATCACTATTATGACTCAAGAAAATGTGACAGAAGAAATATATACGCCTGAAAAATACGTAAACAACGCCACTACAGCTTCACGCTAGGCCTGAACTGTCAAATGTAAAAACGTCAGTAACGTGTTGAAATAGGTAAAATAGTTTCGTTAATCCGATCTGCAGAAAACGAGAAATTACAGCCCTTTGCCTGGGGTTAATTCCCTGTATAACTGAAACATTAGTGTCTATTCCAGCGTAGTTAAACCTGTATTTTTTTT